TGTCTGTGAACTCAAAGGCACTGTGTATTTAATCCGATGTAGAGGTTGTGGAGAAAAGTACAAGGAGAGACCTGGAATACCGCTGAAGATTCGTTTGGACGAACACAGAAGAGCACTGGCCAATCCCGCTGCCTACCACACACAACGCGTTCTCCAAGCATCGTACTCTTGAACATGAGGATGAGAACCCACCGTCCTTCGATGTGAGTGTTCTCCATAGACATCTGGTACGGCCGCTCGAGAGAAAAATACATGGAAGCGCGGGAAATCCACCGCATTAAGCCGGAAATCAACGCTAGGGAGGAGCTACGTGACCTCCTAAGACTGATTGCGTGATAAATGTGACATTAGAGGACCCTAGTGTCTTAGAGCTGCTGAGCAGTTCCTTCCTCATTTATACCGCACGCGCCGCACCGGCAGGTTCACCCCTCCACCCCTCCCACCCTTGGTAGGTTTTAATGCTAATGTTGATGTATGTTGTAGCTGTAGGCCGGTAACGTATTGTAATTTGAAGGTCTGATGACGGCGTTATCGCCGAAAGCTCACCAATAAAGAATTTGATGCAAGAGCTTCGAAATCATCTGTTCTACAATTAACCGAGATGAGTGTCCATCAATTACAATTGACCTCTTGCCGTTCATACCGCACTGCAAGCTGTAGGATGAATGTTACATGCGTCACCGAAGGATTGTACTACATGGAGATAACATGATATTCCTCATTCAAAAGTGTTTTGTGCTCTTGTATGGCAGCAGACTCATGTGCTCTCGATGAGTTCATTTTTAGGTTCTTTTTTCGTAGTCATATGGGGAAGTTCTTCACACGAATTCGGAACCGCTACAGTTGAAGAGGCTCTTGAAATGTTAGAGAGAAATTTAATCTCTGGACTATGTTCAGACCTCTGAAGAGACAATTTTTTGGTAACTCTATAAAATACTTAATGAAGGTTCCACCTAATAAACTCCTCAGGCACATAACAAATAAGGAACGCACACAAGTCGGATAGGCCTATATCGCAAAGAGAAAAGCCAGAAAACAACTACAGCGCTTGCTACCGTTCGAAACCACAAACAAATCTGCCGGAAAGATAACAGCATAGACATGTTACGTAAAATTAGACGACTTTGACTAGTCACAAACTGCTTCGATCCCTTCAGGCTCTGACGAAGGCGAGTTCGCCGCAACGTAAGCCGATACACACGATTCCACGATCCCCTGGGGCCAACGGAAGCCAAGTAGTAAGGCAACTAAGCAGTTAGACCGTCACCTAACCCTTAGGGCAGACTACAAGATGCCCCTTTAGACCTCTTGAACCCACTGCAACTACTAATTTCACGAGCCGAATTGGAACTGTTGTAGGGCTACAACCGCTCATGGGAGTGTTATCACTCTAGAACTGTATTATTTACCAGAGCGGTCTATGAGTCTGCGAGCTCATTCGACGTCTTCTCGTCTGCTCCAATAAACGGATTCACACCTCACCCACGTCCATAACAGGAGTAGATGTTAGCTTGGTGTGGAAAGATTCCGCAGGTCTGAGGCAATCACAAACACGGTCACCAGAGAACACAGTCAATGGCATAAAAGTTTCAGGAAAAACATGGTCTACGGTACTGAACATTTTCTTTCATAACGACACTGTTTTCTCCCATGATATTATATCACCACATAAAGGGCAAAATGGAAAGGCGCTTCGCCGATTGAGGAGGATGACCACCCAAGAATGGAGCGGACGAGCGAGAACCAAGAAGGAAGAAGAGGAAGGCAATTGACAGGCGTGATATAAGGAAATGTAAGAGTTAAGGTTCCCAATAAACACTCATTCTGGCCACTGGGCGTACGCCCGTCGAGGAGGGATTCGAAAGCTGTAGAGGAGGGACCACATGCCCCTCCTTCGTCCCCTAACACCGAGACGTCGCCCAGGAAGGGGGGGGGGCTGAGATCCGACAGTCCGGATGGGCGAAGAAAGACCCAGGCCTAACGACGAAGCCAAGCCCCTGAAATTATGCAGTGAAGCTTATCAGCTTCTGCATTGGATTCTAGTCCTATTCAATTGTTTTAGTCTATCAACGCCCTAGCATTTATGCGCATTCTTCGAAAATAAGGGAAAAACTGCTTGGTCCCACGCGGCAGACACGCGAAAAGGCGCCTTGTCGCCAATGTGTTAAAGGCAGAACCCGCGATTATTCGCCATATCAGATGGTGGATTAGGGGGTTCTATATAGAGGACAAGGGGTTGATTGTCGACTGTAAACAAAAAAGCACCAAAAACATGTCACCTGCCCTAGATAGAACCCCATTTCGATCCCAGTCTGTACGTGCCCAATCAACTCTATCTCCAAAAACTACGCCCTCATATGCAAAGTTGGTTCACCGATAAGATTTCTACTATCGTACAAGTGGCGATTTTCATGCTTTCCGTTCTGCAATCTCATTTTTCACTGGAAGCCGGTCATTAGAGGCCGGAAGTCTGGAGCGGAGGTCACTAGAAAAAAGGAGGAGACGCGGTACAGCGCCCTTCCCATAGAATTTTTGCCGCGAGACCGGTACAAGGTTGTTCGTCGTGGACCACTCTAACCTCCTGACGCCATATTTTCAACTTTGATACCTGATCGCGGACCGTGCCTTTAAACACCCTTCTATATAGCAATGGCTTCAGGTTGAAAAGCTGTAAGTGCTCTCTATAGCTAGGTAAACTACGTGGATGCAACGGGGCGGGATAACATTGGTACATTGGAATTCTGGTGAAAGATTGTTGAAGTTTCTGAACTTTTGTCTGAAGTTTTTTAACCGTAATCAAGTATGGGGATGACATATGATTTATAGAGCTTTAGCAAAGTTAGAGAATCATTTACTCGAACATTTCTATTGCAAAAAGGGCTATGAAGGCCTTACGAACAACAGGATCAATATGATGTTTGAAATCCAAATAAAAATTCACAATAAAGCCGAGGTCACGAACTTCATTTGAAGTACCAAGGGGAATACCGTCGAGTATTATGAACAACTCATGTCTTCCTGAAATTTACAGCTATTTCCCAAGCAGTAGCCCACTCCATCGTGTCGCATATGGGATGGGTTGATGCTTGTTGCGCGCAGTCATAATTATCATTATTATAAACACCATACACCTTAATGTCGTCAGCATATATTTTGATTGCACTAATGGATGAGTATTGAGGTAAGCGGACAGATCAAAGGTGTACGCCAGAAACGGGAGAGATGACAACACACCACCTTGTGGAACTCCGCTACAACGAAGGATACTTCGCGAGAAACTATTACCCACTTTGACACACATGTGCCTATCTTTAAATAGGAAAAGATCCATCCAAGGATGGGATCTTCGATTCCTAACTGCCACGACTTACGAGTTTTTCATGATCGTTTTATCAAAGGCTTTGGAAAAGTCGCAACAGATTATGTCCACGCCTTTCCCTTCATTGATAGCGAGATTCCAGTCAAATATACAATCGGCCATAAGAGTAGTTGTAGAAGCACCACTGACAAAGCCATGCTGCTCTGTGGGAATAAGGCTATGCATCGTTAAATTAGATACAATTTTATCACGTAATATCTTTTCCAGAGCTTTAGCAGGCGGAGCAGTTATTCTTATGGGGCGGAAAGAAGAAACTAGCTTTGATTCTGTAGTCTCATGAATGGTGGTCACGACAGATTCTTTCTCAGTGAGACCTCACAGAACATAAGAGAAACGTTGAGTATCATATAGCATAAAAAAGGCGCATTTTTGGCACTTCAACTATTACTACCTCAGTTTTGCGAAAACAGGCCGGATCTTGGTCGACTTTTTTCTGTGGGGCAGATTTTGCTGAAATCTGGGTTAAGAGGCAATCGTCCTCTGAACACGAATATCACATGCATTTGGCTAGAAAGTGCCTGGCGCCCGCGCCACAGTCGCCAGTGATTTAGGGCATTTTGGCGCCGGCGCCTGCGGGGCGGTTTTTTGTGGTTCGGTTTCAGGCCGAGCAGATGTGATATTCGTGTTAAGGAGGTTGAACTACCCCAACTTCCAGCCAAATCTGCCCCCGTAGAAAAAAAGTCGATCAAATTCCGGCCCGTTTTCGGAAAATTGGTGTAGTAATACTTGAACAGTGCCCATTTTTTGTATACAGTCTGCGGAATCCCATCGCAAGGAAGAGAAGTAGAGCATTTGAGTGGTCTCAACGTTTTGTATACAACTTCGTCAGTTACTTGACATTCACTGAGTTACTTTACATTCACTCGTATTCAAGCATTTTCGAGCTCCGGAACCTACACTAGAAATGTTTCCACTGTCAGTGGAGAAGACAGGCAAAAAGAATTGTGCAGGCGCTTCAGCTGTTTGACCATCAAATAAGAAACGATTGCATTTTTCATCAAGAAGTACAAGTACACTTGGATGGGATTTAATCTTACATTTTACCAATGCAAAAATAACATTCTTGTTAAGCCTATTGCTGAAACGTCTTTCCTTATTTGTCATGAACTTTTTCAGATGATAATCAAGCTCACGGCTCACATTTTCGTACACAAGACATGACGAGGGGGTCATGATTTGTCTCGATGTAAAGTCGTGTTTTTTTTGGGCTAATAAATCCCTTATGTGTTTAGGTATTTCGTTTGTGGCACAGGGATGGAATCGAAGGGCACATACTCGGCAAGTCCTTTGAAGACAGTGCGGCAAAATCTTTTGTACATCATCACAGGAGGCCGTCAAAAACATTCCACCACTTTAGGGAGAGAAGTACTTCGATAGCTCAGAATAATCGGCTTCGGAGAAGTTTGGCAACGGAAGTTTATATGGCGTGGATGCGGGAATAGCAATCTCAAAACTTACTACTCTGTGGTAAGAGGCTGCAAGAGGCACTAATACCGAAACGTCTTTCAGAATAAAAGCATTCGACAATATATTGTCTAGAGTAGACTCTCCGCGTGTGTGGGTACATACATGTTAATTAAATGCACAGAACGAACCTTTGGGCTTATTCTTCAGGACCTTCTCATCTTGTAGATCCGCCGGTACCCGTTCCTGGCCCACAATGTCTTGAGGAGGCATCCACCAGTTTCCAACTGAAAATGATTGAAGAATCACATAAACTGGCATAAAAATAAGGTTTTGGTATGGCTCCGAAGGTGAGCGGTGTCTATTTACTAACACAGAAAAAGGAATCGCCGTGTCGAAAAAGTAGTAAAAATAACAACTAGATTCCATTTTTATTTCCATTACTCAAAAGTGAACTGAAATTCATATTAAACAATCTTAACATCTATCGAAAAGGAACAAATGACATCAACAACTGAATGGGCTCAGGTAGTCTAACAATCTTCGAAATATCAGTTCTATGTTACAACTATATAATAAGAGCTGTTCGGATTGGGAGGGGCACTTTGCACGTTCGCTAGTTATTTTATCCAGTTCATGTCAACGAGCAGCTCTCATTTTAGTGAAACTTGTAAACTTTTATAAAGCTGTCAAGTCACAACTAAGCCATTTTGCTGATAGGGATTTACTGGTTTATACAAAGGAGCCTCCTCTCTAGGCTCTGATGAGTACTTGTCGCTCCCACCAAACCAAACTGCGCCAGAATATGTCTGAGACCTTGCAAATTATTTCCAATTTTAGAAGGGCTACAACAACTTTGACCTTGAAGCATTGGTAAAGAAATACAATTTAACTCAAGTTCCCCAAGTACCCGCTCGAAATGCCCCACACCGACCAAATGCTGGACAGCGGTGGTACCTGCATAAGGCACAAAAAGGCGTGGTCGGACGAGTTCTCACTTGTAGATATCGGCTCTCTCACCTTGTCGCTGTCCTCTCACCATTAAATGAACAAAGCTGTAGGAGAACAACCGCACCACCAGGTTCCCAGGAAAGATATCTGACAGGTAATAGAAGGACTTTTACCTAGTGCCTACATGAAGAGGAGAAGCTCCAGAGTGAATGAACCAACTGCCCTGCGTGAACGATATCTTTCCCGAAACTACGAAGGTATGTATCACAATCCCTAAAACTTTAATGTTGAGGAAAATGTTTTGATTTCTGGCTTTCTTTTTGCTTGTTGTTCAAAATGTCTTGGATGCTCAGCTCTGCTAGTATAATAAGGATCTCCCTCCGCCCCCCAGCCATCCAGTGGCAGACAACCGCCTGAAATTATATATTACATGGAATTATATTACTTCTTCGACTTCTTTAGCTTACCCTAAACGAGCAAGGATGTGTTTGATCCAATCAGTTGAAAATTGAACTACACTATAAATTTGATAATTTTATATTTGTATTTGATAATATAATTCAAATAATTGAGAAATCCGAATGAGAATGATCTCAAATATAATTTGAGGTTTTTGACTTGATGATTTCAATGCTTTAAACTCGTGAACTTCAAAGAACAAAACAAGGGAATACGGCGCAAAAACCATATGGAGGGGGCACACCTGTTAATGCTTGTCACATGCCAATCATGTCAACGAATGCATGTTAATACTGAACAACCTTGTCAACAACCTGTAAGCCTTTTATCACCTATCGAGCACCCTGTAAACTCCTATCAACTTGTTAGAATGAGTGGTTCGGGAGAAGTGACGTTACAGTGACGCTAAAACAATTTTGTCAGGATTGACCGAAGTTTACAGGTTACTTGACTGGAATTAAGAGGAGCAGGGTGGGCACGGTTGTGAAGAGAGAAAAGAAGAAACAAAACAATAACACGCACCGAAAAAGCTTACAGGTGTCTCATACACACCCCTCCCCCCTCGCCAGGAGGGTCATTAATGCCGGAAATTGCTGGTAGTTCTTGACGAAAACAAAATTAAAAACTAGGACCGTCCCAACAACCAATAAAAAAATGCCGAGAATAAAATTCTACCCGTCTAAGGAACCAGCGCTTATGGGGTAATGCCAAAGGAATGAATAACCACCTGCCAGTGACTCATGCCTAGTTAAAAAAAACTTCAGAAATCGAGACCACGGCAGTATTTGACATGCATACAGGGATTTTTGGCTTTTAGGGACACACACGCAACGCAGATTTTAACAACTTAATGATTCACAATAAAAGAAAATATTAATCGAATTGACTTCGGGCCGGCGGCCATGGGAGAGACCGTGGCTGGAATCGATATAGCCCCGCCTGTCCTAGTCCTGCGTCATGCGCCCAGTTCACAACCCTCTTCAGCACCACAAATTCATCTACACTTATTGCAGCTTGATTTTTTTTCAAGTGCCGTTTATTTGTCACATGTTGGCCCACGAATTCAATTATTACTGCTATCCATTTCACGCATATTTTGATCAATGGTCTCCTCCCTGCTCTCACACCAGTTTGGTGGAATTCACTCTTTGGTTCGAGGTGTTGCAACTTTACTATTTCTGAAAGCTGGTTGGATGTCTCGACCACCCTCGCCTGGCTTAGTTCATGATCTCTTTGAACGATAGGGCGTGCGACGCGGATTTGAACGCAGCCATGGCTGCCTTTTCCCACCAATGACGCCATGTCGAGCCCGTTACAATTGGTAGATAATGTGCCCTTCGCTCCCGCCACACGCCTTACCGTTTGCAGGTATTATGACTGTATATTTGGGAGGGGAGGTGCTATTGAGGAATAATATTCCACACGGCGATGTTGCACCCTGTGCAGAACTCTTTAAGGCAACTAATGAGCTTTATATTATCCCGAACCGCTCGTCGCAATGACCATAAATCCTCTTTAGCTTATATCTGTTGTTTATTATAACTTATATTTGCTTATACCTTGCGGAACTGGTGTGTGAAAGAATGGGGAAAATGACGAAATCTTGAGAATAGCATGAATACGATCAGGTTCGCTCCAGTCGAAGGAACCCGGGAATCTGATTACCCCATCCATCAAGTCTAGAGATCCTAAACAAATCCTTTGTCGCGATTTCCCCGCCTCTCCCAATCCCACGATTCCTAGGTTCTCCAAAC